GACAGAGGTCTACTGAAAATGCTGGCTACCTTCCCTACAAAGGTGGATGCTGCACTTGTCCAAATGAAAAGTACTGCAATGCATGCAGTTTTCTCCCAGTCATGGTGGTGGCCAAGTGCTAAGGCTTGCTGTTTAGAAGGAATGTCCGGGTACTCTGGGTTTTCACCCTAATTGTCTCAGAAGCTGTCAGGCCCTACAATCCTCATCCCTCACACCCAACTTCTCCATGATTCCCCATAGCCTCACATCAACTCACGTTCCACACTTAAAGTGCTTTGCATCCTCCATGCCAACTCACACCTCTCCCATCTCTCATTGGCTCTCAGACCCTCTAGCCCACCTCCACATGGCCAGATCTTATGACCCAAGTCAAGATAAAAATATACTTACAATCAAATACAACTCAGTTCTACACACATGACAGCTTAAATAAACTCCTATTCATAAGACACATTCAAGTCATTAATCTCTTAGAAAACAAACAGGTTCTATTCATACCACACAAAGCCAATCTTTTAACAGCCTTTTCAAGAATCAATCAAGCGGTGAACTCAGATACCCCTGCACAGATAAATGTAGCTATGAAACTCTGCCAAGCATTCATTATGACATAATTTGGGGTGGCATGGTGGCTCAGTGGTTAGCACTGCGGCCTCATGGCGCCAGGGACCAGGATTCGATTCCAGCCTCAGGCTACTGTCTGTGTGGAGTTTGCACATTTTCCCCGTGTCTGCGTGGGTTTCCTCCGGGTGCTCCGGTTTCCTCCCACAGTCCAAAGATGTGCAGGCTAGGTGGATTGGCCATGCTAAATTGCCCGTAGTGTTCAGGGGTGTGTGGGTTATAGGGGGATGGGTCTGGGTGGGATGCTCCAAGGGTCAGTGTGGACTTGTTGGGCCGAAAGGCCTGTTTCCACACTGTAGGGATTCTATGAGAATTGTAGCACTTGGGGAAATGTCAACAAAAAGAGGTCTAGCCTATTCAAACTTCATGGCAAGGCACTCTATGGTTCCTCAAACTGCAGCAAATGGGCTGCTAATCAAAATAGCCAAGCAGCATTTGACTTTAAACTCCCCAAGAGCTTTGTTTTTTTAAGAAAACAGTTTAAAGAACAAGGGATACAAAAAAATCCTCACATTATGGCAACGACACAAAGCATATTCACCCATCAAAAATGACTAAGTCTACTCCATCAAATTGTGCTTCTGACATTTTGGGTTAAGGCTCTTGCAACAGCCAAAATGGCTATTTAAACTCATCACTGTGTTCAAATGCTCTTGCTGAGAATTCACCCCATCCCTTTTCACACACTGACAGAAGTCAGATTTATTAAAAATAGAGTCGAGAATTCTAGATCCAGGTACCTCCTATAATTTTTAGAATGTCCACAGAATTTTCCTGGCTCTTTTAAAATCTGACAGCCTCTTTTGAACAAACAATTTCTGAACTCAATGCCTGAATCAAGATCAGTGTGGTCACAACAAACAAGAACATATTTTCCAGACCAAGTCATCTTAAGAGGAAACACCCAGGAAGACAAAGCATATTCAGAGGAAAATCACGGCTATTTGTCATTCTCAAATTTAAAAGTGTTTAATATTTAAAAACCTAATTTTGAACATGGAATCAATAAACAAATCTGAGCTTTAGCATTTTATAGCCTTGATAGAGAAATGCAGAAGTCTCTAGAATATCCAAGTGATTTATTTAATCAATGATGTGTATGAAGTGTGAGAAGCAATTGATCGGCATTTTAATAAAGATAATATAGTGCATTTAAGCAAAATCAGTCGTGAACAAGATCAATTATCTGACCGTGTACTTCAGTCTACTACTTTTAATTCAAATTGTTTAATTGAAATGACATAACTCATTTAAAGGTCTGAATTCACATGATATTTTACTACTTGCACTGCTTAATTCAAGTTATTTAAAAATTAATTTCTCTTTTCAATGCAAAAATTGGTATTGTTTGAACTGCTTTGCCTCCCTGCGGAATGCTCTATCATGCAATGCCACTGCCTGGAACACATTTCCATACATGCAGCAATACCAAAGTTATTATTTGATAGCCCACGAATTCAGTAGCATGTATTTGAAAATGAAAAACAACACCTTATCCACCAGTATATTCATTTTTCTGTGCAGACATCATGGGTAATTTTCTAAGCGCAAGGGATACATTTTGTTACGTTTCCCAATAGAGAATAGAGAAGTAAAAAAACACTTGTACCAAAACATTAGGAGAAAAATATAGAATTATAGCATCCCTACAGTGCAGAAACAGGCCATCCAGCCCATCAAGTCCACAACAACCCTCCAAACAGCCAGACCCAAATCCCTACCATATCCCTGTAACACGACATTTCTCATGGTCGATTCACCTAACCTGCACATCTTTGGACTGTGCACCCAAGCAGACACAGGGACAATGTGCAACCACCACACAGACAGTCGCCTGAAGGTGGAATCAAATCCGGGTCCCTGGTGCTGTGAAGCAGCAGTGCTAACCACTGTGCTGCCCCAATATTATTATTTTGGAAACTATAGAAACTTTACCTTCCTGAAAACAATGTTTGGTATAAGATAATGGATGAGTGAAAAATCTATTTCCTATTTTGGATTACTTAGAAACTAACTACATCCACAGAACAAAAACCAAAAAAAAACCGGTTCTGAAGAAGGGTCACTCGACCCGAAATGTTAACTCTGATTTTGCTCCACAGATGCTGCCAGACCTGAACTTTTCCAGCTATTTCTATTTTCATATCCTCAGAATTTTGCATGTGTCTCTTAGGTATCTCCACGTGATCTACCGAAACAAATAGAGGGGCCAATAGCCTACTCACTCGGCACAACTAATGGCATTTTTTTACATTGTACTTTTAGGCACACTGACATCCAGCATCCTAATAACACAATACTCAAAACGAGCTGCATCTTTCAGGTTATATTCTCCCATTTTCTTCAAGTTAAAATCTGGAGCAGGCTTGGAGATCAGCAAGTGATAATGAGAAAGGAATAGGATTCCCTGAATAAATTTTGAAAATGAGGCGAGATCCAACAATAGAACAACGTTGACAATTGTGGAGACCCCACCTTATATCAAATGCCAGCCTTAGCTCAGGGGAAGCACTTATCTCCGAACCAAAAGGATGTGAACTAATATTTCCCCTGTACATTTTAGACGCTGAAGAGAATCCAAAGTGGCCAAGTTGGTCACCTTCCTTTTTGTTCTTTTTCCACCCTCAACACCTACTAGATTTCTGGATACTCATGACACCAGGATGTATAGGGATAATGGGAAAAGCAGGCACAAAAATAGACAATCTGTAGGAATTGATGCAACAGGCTTGTCTTGCTGAATAGTCTACACTTGATCCTGTTTCCTTCTATTTTGAACTTTTTGCACTTCTGATGAAACGTAACTGATTTAAAAGAATAATTCTGTTCTTCTCTTCACCGATGCCAGACTTGGAGACTTTTCAACATTTTCCGTTTATATTGGGATTCTAAGTTACAAATAAAGTTTAGTGCACAAATAATTCAAGATTCCATCATGGTGAAAGGGTTGCTCTGTTACAAACGTCAGATATCGAACTTCACATCACTGTTCAGAAAAGTTTGTGTCGAGTCCCAACTTTCCTCCCTCTCCCAAAGTCAAATTAATCAGTCAAGCCAGTTTACATGAAGTGAATCTTGCTGTTGCAATACTGCAGCAGTGCATACTTACACAAGATCCCTCCAAGATGTCCTCCCTCAACACAGCTGAGATATGCTCCCTAAACAGTAATGCAATTGCCCACCTCTTTAGCTTCCTCTCTGTCTTGTCTAAAACACTGACAGCCCACTGATTAAGTTGCCGATCCTGTCCCTCTCTCAACCATGTCTCTGTGATAGCAACAACACGATAAGTGCATGCATTAATCCAGGCTCTAAGTTCAAATGTCTTACCTGTTACACTTCTGGCATTGAGGCAAATACAGTTCAAGCCTCCATCGTTGGCCCTGCTGTACAGAGGGGAGTTAGGAGGGCTAAAAAGGGGCTACGAAATGTCTTTGGCCAGTAGAGTTAAGGAGAATCCCAAGGCATTTCAGATATATATATTAGAATAAAGGAGGAAGGTTATTTATGAGGCCTGAGGATATGGGCGAGATTCTTGATGAGTACTTTATGTCGGTATACAACAAAGAGAGGGATGTTGAGGTTAGGAAAAAGGTGCGTGAATATTCTCAGGCAGGTCAACGTAATGAAGGAGGAAGTGTTGAGTGATTGTAAACGTATTAAGGCAGACAAGTCCCTGGGGTCAGATGGGATCTATCCCAAGATACTGAAAGGAGGCAAGGGAGAAAATAGTTGGGGCCTTAAACAGCATCATTGCATCCTCTTTGGCCTCAGGTAAGGTTCCCAAGGACTGGAGAATGGCCAATGTTGTTCCTTTGTTTAAGAAGGGAAACAGATAATCTAGGTAAATTACAAGCCAGTGAGCCTGATGTCATTCGGGAAGCTGTTAGAGAAGATACTGAGAGACGAGATTTATTCACATTTAGAAACAAGTCGACTTGCTAGTGATAGGCAGCATGGGTTTGTGCGGGGAAGGTCATGTCTCACCAACTGATTGAGTTTTTTTGAGATCACAAGAATGATTGATGAGGAAAGGGCAAACTGGGCATAGAAACCATGTTTGGGAAATAAGTACTAGCTCTAAATAAGGCTTAGGAATCAGTACAGACTTGGCGAGCTCAAGGGGCTGTTCCTGTGCTGTATATTGTATAGTCTCAAATAATGATTCTATGGTGGTGTTCTGGTGTATTTGAGTCACAATATAAATTTAAGTTTCTCTTTTCATTGCTATTTGTTGATGTTGTGTATCACATTCTGATTACATGCAATATAAAAAGATATGCTAATTTCACTTTTAACCAATTTATGAAAATTAACTTAGCAGAGCTCTAAATTATAGGGTAGATTAATGGAAAAAAAAACTGAAGGAAAGTACTTACCCCCTGATTTCCCTGGAAGCAGATTACTGGTTGATTCGGTAAGGAAGCCTAGAAAACAAAATAAATTTTAGTTTCCAATGCAAGCTGATAAGACAGGACAGATCTACAGATCCATACTTATAAAGTATATAAACTTTGATTTATTCAGGATCAATATAACACCCAGGAAAATTGTTCAATAAGTTTTACCTGTATAACAAAAATATGGGCTAACATTGACATCAATGCCAGGCAAAAGTTAATCATTTTTGTCCAGTTTATTGGAATAAGAAATTTTTATGACAGACAAAACCCATCCCCATTCATCACATCCCTCATATCACCTTTAGAAAGCCGTCTATTTCTCTCTTGAACCTATTTCTTCATTCCACTTCAGTAGCCTTCCTTATCTAGATTCTGTAGCCCTACAAATAGGGTTATAATACACTCTTCGGTCCAACCAATCTACGCTGAACATAATCCCAAACCAAATTAGTCCCACCTGCATCCTTGATCAAAAACGCTGCAAAAGACAATCCTTCATACTCCAGGCTTTTAACTTGTGTATTTGGACCTTCAACTATAAGATTTTATTATGCTGCAAAATTAATCAAGCCACCTTGAAGTCCCTAATCTTTTTACCCTCCCCAAATGTAAACTTTTCTCAAATTCTGTTACTCTAGACTAAGAAAGTGCATACTTTAAAACAACAATGTTAGAAAAATGTTCCACTCACTGTATTAGGTAATAATAATCTATGCTAGGAGGGGCCACAGTGTAATGTCAGTTTACTAGTAACCCAGAACCTCAGACTCTGCTCCGAGGACAAGAGTTCAAATCACACCATGGGAGATGGTGAAATTTGAATTCAATGAAAATCCAGAATTAAAAGCGAGCCTAATGGTGAAAATTTAACCATTGTCAATTGTCATAAAAACCCAACTAATTCACTAATGTCTTTCAGAGAAGGAAAACTGCCATCCTTATCTGGTCTAGCCTACATACGACTCCACACTCTCAACTACTCTCCGAAATGGCCACAAGCCAGTCAGTTCCAGGGAAATTAGGGACAGGCAATAAATGCTGACCTGGTCAGCAATGCCCAAATACCACAAATGAACAAACAATCATTGTCGCAGATGAGCATCTATTAAACATGACAATATGTAAAAATAGTTTGCACACAACTAAATCCTGATATTCGTTTACACTTTCAATGTGCTAACGTACAGCATATACCTGCTGGTTTCGTATTACATGCTAAATTATAGACATCATATCAGTTAAGTCAATGGTTAGCAGTACAATTATACGGGCTGGATGAAGTGTTTATTTGTTTTTCTAAAGGCATACATGAATAGTGTCATTCATAAACTCAGCAAGTTATTTTAAAATATAGATATAGTCTTTAGTATTATCAGCAAACAAGTTGAGTTGCAATAGTAATGAGAAATTTAATTCAAATCAATAGTTTTGACATGAGCCATTCCAATATATTTGAGTATTTCTGGAAGGTTATTAAAACCAGGATTATTTTTTAAACATTTTAGAGTCTAAAATAAGTAGTTACTTTTCACTCTTAACCTTATCACAACCAGATATGAAGATGGGTTGGACATTGGTAAAGTTCCACTCCACACCCACTGCAGCACATGGAATAGCTTCTGATGGTATGGATGTTGTCTATGATGCAACGCAAAAGATAGACTTGCACTTACATAAGCACTGTTCATCACCGCAGCATATATCAAAATTTGCAAACAATTAAATATTTATTTCTTTAAAGTTTAATCACTGCTGTAATGTAGGAAATAGACCAAACAATTTGTGTGTTGCAAACTCTCAAATAATAAATGCGATTATGGCCAAAAAATAGTTTGGGCTTTGTGTGATTTTTGTTGAGAAATAAATATTGGGCAGGGATAACTCCAAAACAATTTCAGAGATAGTGGAGACATTTTGACAGGATTCACTAACAGTTGTTTGAAAATAGTGCCAGTGGATCTTTTACATCCACTGCAGAAGGTAAGCAAAGCCTCTGTTTAATATCACATCCACAAAAACAGTACTTTGTACAGTGCAGGAAAACCTCAGTACTGCACTAGAGAGTCAAACTTGATTTTTGCCATGGAGTGGGACCTGACCCAAGAATTTTGAAACTCTAGAGATAAAGTGCAATTCTCAGACCCCCAGTCAAACAGATAACTAAAGAGCTTACAAAAATTATAAAGTCAGTTCCAACATTGATTTAAAAAAACTAATTTAGAAGAAATTTACAAGGTTTAATGTATATCAACCAATGTTTAAGACAACTAAAGAAAGTGAGCTCTTTCTTTAATTATTCTTTAAATAGTGTGCATTGCTGAGACTTGAATATTGTTCAAAGGAGCTATTGTTCACTTTTGAAAAGGATTTCACTTTAACATTTTGTCAAAAATATAAACTGTGCCTTGTACACTTTTTAAATGGAAGTAGAAAAATTGATGAGGCATCAGTTTTTATTCATTTGTGGGATGAGAGATTTGCCAGGTAGGCCAGCATTTACTGCCCATGAGATGGTAGTGAGCTGCGTTATTGAACTGTACTCCAAATGACTTTGGTACACCTACGCTGCTGTCAGGGACAAAGTTCCAGGATCTTGATCCAGAAGGAATGCTGATATGCTTCCGAGTCAGGATGGCGAGTAGCTTAGTGGGAATTTGCAGGTAGTGGTATTCTAAAGTATTTGCTGCCCTTGTCCCCCAGAATGGTAGTGATCATGGGTTTGTAAAGGTATGGTCTAAGGGACCTTATTGAATTTCTGCAACACATCTTGGAGACGATGCACACTGCTGCTACTGTGGACCAGTAATGGAGGGAGTCGATGCTGGTGGATGGCGTGCAAATAAAGTAGGCTGCATCATCTTGAATGGTGTCAAGGCTGAGTTTTTTTAAACTGCAGAAATATAAGCACAAGTTTTGCTGGTAGCGCACTCGTCCAGGCAAGTGGAGGTTATTCCTTCTCACTCCTGACCTGTCTTGAAGATAATGGACCGGCTTTTCAGTGACATGAGGCAAATTACTTGCTGCAAGATTCCTAGCCTCTGACCTCGTCTTAACCACAATTGATACGTGTCTAGTCCTATGTTACTTGTTATTTATCAGCCCAAGCCCAGATATTATCCGGGCATTGCTGCATTTGCACGTGGACTGCTTCAGCATCCCAGGAGTCGTGAACGGTGCCGAAATTTGTTCGCTGATGATTGCACATCACTACTTCTGACTTTATGATAGAGGGAAGGTCATTGACGGTTGGGCTTAGGACACTATCCTGAGGAACTTCTGCAGAGATGCCCTAGAATTGTGGTGACTGAACACCAACAGCCACAAACTTCTTCCTTTGCACCAGCTATGACTCCAAATAGAGACTTCCTCCTCATTCCCCCGACTCTAGTTTAGCTAGGACTCCTTAACGTTACACTCGCTCAAATGCAGTATGATATCAAGGCAGTCACTCAGCTCACCTTTGGACTCCAGCTCTTTTGTCCATGTTTGAACCAAAGCTGTAATGAGGTCATGAACTGAATGATCCTGGCAGCAGAGCAGCAGTGAGCAGGTTATTGCTAAGCCAGTATTGCTTAATGATGCCTATTCTGGGCAATGTTTTCAGTACTTGCAAGCAGTAAAACAAATTAGACTAGTTCAGTACTTCTAATCCATCCTTCAGATACAGATCCACCTGCTGCTCTGGTAGTTTAAACCAATGAAACATCTTGGCCAACATTCCTCCTGTAGCTGACACCACAGAAGAATTAACTAGTCATTCATCTCTTGACAGCTTGTCAAAAATCAATGTTGTATGTTCCTAGTTCACTGTTACTGCACTCCAAAACAAATGCTTATTTGTGTGAAATGTCAGAGACAGGATTAACTATATTAAACACGCTGCGAAATTCCACTCTTCACATTTAAAACTAATTATGATTCAACAAATAGTATGAGTACAAGTAAATGAATACATCAAAGCAGTTAATCAAGAATTCTGTCCAGGCATATTTTTCTCCTTAAAATATACAGCATAGTTAATTTTAGTTTCTTGCCTTCTACATTTAAAGGTCACTGTAATTAAAGTCATATAAATAAATCAAGATACATAGCTGCAAAATACGTACCTAAGAACATAGAACACAACAGCACAGTACAGGCCCTTCAGCCCTCGATGTTGCGCCGACCTGTGAAACCAATCTGAAGCCCATCTAACCTAAACTATTCCATTATCATCCATATGTTTATCCAATGACCATTTAAATGCCCTTAACGTTGGCGAGTCTACTACTTTTGCAGGCAGGGCATTCCACGCCCTTACTACTCTCTGAGTAAAGAGCCTACCTCTGACATCTGTCCTATATCTATCACCCCTCAATTTAAAGCTATGTCCCCTCGGGCTAGCCATCACCATCCAAGGAAAAAGGCTCTCGCTGTCCACCCTATCTAATCCTCCGATCATCTTGGAAGAACAAATTAAAATCAGTGACTGAAACAGAAAATTTTCTGATACAACATGTACAAATATTTGCCCATTAAATGGATTAAAACTATAACTGAACTGTTCTACAGGAACATAAAGAGCTATAAATTCAGAGAATGAGAAAGTATTTGGTATGTTTGCCACTATTGGTCAGTACATTGAGTATAGGAGAAACAAAAAAAAAAAGATTGCTGGAAAAGCTCTGTTCTGAGGAAAGGCCACCGGATCCAAGAAGTTATCTGATTTCTCTTCAAAGATGCTGCCAGATCTGCTGAGCTTTTCCAGCAATCTCTATCTTTGCTTCTGATTTACAGCATCTGCAGTTCTTCCAGTTTAAGTACACGAGTTGGGAGGTCACATTGTGGTTGTACAGGACATTGGTTAGGCCTGCATGCAATTCTGGACTCCCTGCTATAGAAAGGATGTTGTGAAACTTGAAAGGGTTCAGAACAAAATTTACAAGGACATTGCCAGGGTTGGCGGGTTTAAGCTGTAAGGAGACTGAATAGGCTGGGGCTATTTTCCCTGGAGCGAAGGCCGAGGATTGACGTTATAGAGGTTT